GGAGGTACATTCTTGTAGTTATTCAATGTTATATGATTGTTGCATATGCATATGGTTGAATGTGTATGTGTGTGTGAATTTTGAGAATGAAATTCATTTTAAGGGGGGAAGAACATAAAACCCAGGTAAATTTTAATTTTTATGAAAAATGGCAAAATAGTAATTAGCCACTAAGTTACGAGTTAAAAACCCAAATTTTTCTAGAATTCGAATGACAAAACAGACCTCAGCATTGAATTCTTCTCATTAAATCTAGTTACCCAATCAATTTTCGTTGAATTCTGAGATAGTCAGATTTTTTACATTTTATGAGGTGATCGGGTGTCGAGTGACCTAAAAAAGAGACGTGGAATTAAATTTTAAAAATTGAAAAATAATTTGAAGCTATTTCAAATAAAAATATTTTTTTGAGACAAAATTGGACCCAGAAATGAAGAATGTGTGGCGCAACGAGGGTCAAACATCTGAGTATAAATAGGGGGAGAAAATTAGAGAGGAAGAGTAGGCAGAGAGAGGATTCTCCAACTTCTCTATACAATCTACGACTCTACATTGTTTGAAATTCTTTGGGTCAACAACCAAAGTTCATCTACACGACGAAGGCTACGCCTACGTACCAACAATCAAAGGTTTTGATGAAGAACAAAAAATGGGATTTTGGAGGAAGCAAGGATTAGAGCTTGTTTTGGGTCTTGAGAGTTTTTTACGGTTGTTTATTGTTTCAAGAGGTAGGATTCTTTTCCTAATTAGGTTTATTTTTTATGAGTGCGTTTTATACCTACGAATTGAGTATTTTTGGTTTGATCAAATTGCAAGTTTTTAATTATTTTATGTTCATTTTTATTTTTTTTTGTGTATTTTGATGTTATTTTGTAGGAATGATCATTTGGAATGAATCATGATAAAAAGGGGAGCAACTATGTCAATTTGGAGCCTAAAAAGTGGATTTTTGGAAGAGGAAGCTAAAGGGCAATTTTAGGACTGCAGAGGGGGGAGCACGCCCCTGTGCCAACCTACTGTCCCTATGGCGCCCCTGCACAGATTTATGGTGCCCCCGCATTTGTGTTAGTCCATGACGCGAATTTTAACTTTTTTGTGACCCGAAATTGGACTCTAAAGCTACATATATGCTAGGGTTTGTGTGGGGATGAGATATTCTGACTTTTGGGGGCTGAAAACATCTAGAAAAGCCAAGGAATTGGAAGAAAATTGAAGGGAAGAATCGAAAGAATTGACACAAAAAAGATTGGTCTTGAAGGCTAAAGAAGGATTGAAGATTGCACATAAGTTTTCATTCTTTTCTCTTACTTTTATTTCTTGATTTTCTAAGATGTTTTTTAATTTTAGAATGATGTTTTTCAATTACGTTATGAACTAAATTTTTATTAAGATTGCAACGAAACCTATGTCTAATTAAATTAATCTACTCTAGTTTCTAGTTCTTATTGATCTTATATGAGTTGTTTGTCATATTTTGTGATTGAAGTATGATTGTGTGACCAACAATTAATTTGATAACTTAGACGAAATTGGGAGATGAATTCTAGATTTAAATCAGAATATGATGACATGCATCTAGTTTATTCTTCTTAGTATTGAATAGCTGGGTTTGTGTATAGGATAGGAATGTAACTATACGTTGTGTGTAACTTTTATGAAAATTTGAACTTATTTAATCTAGTCTAGCTTATTTTGCATAGGAATATAATAATTTAATTGGGAGAGATAATTTTATCTAATTATCGGAAAAGGTTTGATAAAATAACGTTGAGTTCTCAGTTAACAACTTCTTTTAATCAATTAACTAGAAAGAGAGTTAGAAAGATTTATACGAAGCATTAGGGGAAGTTGTAATCTTAACTTCTTTTCTCTAGTAAATTCAACCCTTGATTGTTAAGTTTAGATTTAGCTTTAAGTTAGTCATTCAATAGTTCAATTCCAATTTTTTAAATAAAATTGAATTGATGCAAAGTTAGTACTTAGATATTATTAGCAATATTTCTCTGTGGGAATGATACTCTACTTATCACTTTATTACTTGTTGATCATGTATACTTGCATGTAAATTGTCAATATCAAATTCGAACAACAATTTTCGACCTATAGATCCATATGATATGTGTAGCATGACTTGAAATGAATTCTCTTGTTTGATGTACTCCTAGTGTAACTAGATTATGGGAAATGGGTAAAGAAATATACTAAACTAATCTTCCATAAATTGGGTTTGTAGAATTTACTTGTTTGGTAAATTCATGAAAAATGTGATAAATTGGGCATGATTGTGTGTCACATGATTTGGTGTCTTGAAGATGTTTGATAAAATGCCGATGTTGATGTAGTATGTTGGTTTCATTGCAATGTTATAACATGCTTGGGTATTGCGAATAGTTAAAATCAATTTTTGCATGAATTGGATACTTAGAAATTACTTGTTTATGATTTCTTGAGAAAATGTATTGATTGGGCATGTCATATGTTTACATTTACGCCTTGAATGTGTTTGATGAAATACCTATGTGGATTAAGTGTGTTATTTGCATTAATTATGTAATAACATACTTGTGAGTTGGTGTTGGTATATCCATGTGATATTTTGACATTGAGGTTGTTTATGGTAATAATATGCTTTTGATGTAATTTACCATGAAAAAGGTTGTTGGATATTGAATTGTTTATATTGTGCTCATGACATATTGAACATGGTTGAGAATTGTAATTGTACATTTACATTGCACATGCATGGATAACATCACATTCGTGAGAATTTGACATGAGTGTGGGTGTGTGTGCATGTTTTTGAATCAAATACCATTCTTGGTAGTTGAGGCGTGGACTCAGGAAGGTTGGACCTAGGTTCGGTTGAGTTGCACAGTTGTATGAAAAACTTGAGTCGGGTATAGCAAGAAGGGCTAAATACTCCCTCGGCTACAATACTCGGTGTTACTGGTTTATACACTTCTGATGTTGCAAGTCCAAAAAAGTGTAATGCGGTACGAAACTGGCTGTGAGATTCCAACATTTGAATACCCAACAAAGACACATGGTTTATTTTAAAAAGATCATTGGATGTGTAACATCAATGGTGAGGGCTTGGAATGCCCGAATTCATACTCATGGTATTGCATGTGTTGAGAAAATCGGTAAAGGTTCGGGTTGAGTGGCATGTGTGAGTCTCATCTCATATCATGACATGACATAGGAAATTCCATTGTTGAATGGAGTAATTGTTGCTTGCGAATTGCATGTGAACATTTCATATGCATCTAGGTTGGGGAGTAGCCTCTTTCGGAAATACCGTATTGACCTTGGCTCACTCTTTATGGTAATAATATTTTAGGTGCGAGACATGCGTCGATTGACGACTCTCATTCAGGCCCTCATTGATGAAGAAAAACCAAAATGTGACTTTTAAACTATGCTTTTGTAAAACTAAGATGTAAATTAGTTTTTGGGCATGTAATGTATGTAAAGGATTGTAATCGAACTCATATGGACAATGTTTAATGTAAAATTGCAAGTTCTTATATGAGTATGGATAAATGGATCCAGGGTGTTCAATGTTGTAGATTGCATAGCTTGCGTTTTAGATAGAACTCCCCGCACAAAGGAGACTCTACCCTAATTTTGTTAAGTTATGAATCGCAGTAAATGGGGCAAAATGGCGTGGTATCAAGTTACATGGTATCCACGGGTATTCCGCGAGTTAATGGGTGATCAACGAATTGACAAAGGACCCTCGTTTTTAGGGGTGTTACAGTTATTATGTCTATTTGACCTATGAAGTTCAGGTGGGTATTTTTTCTATACAAGTATAATTCCAAAACAAATAGTAAAAAACAATAATAATGAATTTGTATTTAAACGTTATAATGACTCAAGCTATTGAAATTGAATATTTTGACCCGTTGATGTTTGTTTTCTTATATGGTCACAGGAGGCATTTGAAAGCTTGACTAACTGACTTATTAACAGATAATAACTTTTAAAATATTTAGTTTTTAGTGTGTCACATGTGTTTTATCTCATTTATTTGTAGTGCCTCTATATTCATTTGTGTGTAGGCTATGTACCATATGACTCCGATATGTAAGAATTAATAACTAAATGAAGAAAGTAAAACCTAAATGGATAGTGGGTTGTTATTTTTGTAGCTAATGATAAGGTTAATAGCATAATCTAACTTTTGTGCATACCATGCTTAGAGGTTGTTAACTGATTTACCATGGTGCTCCTAATGAATAAGTGAATATCTAATAGGGGTACATTCTTATAAAATCATTAATGTAATATGTGAACTTATGTGTATATGACTTGACTATTGGGATTGTAACTGCTATATTTTCAAGTTTTGCAATTCTAGGAAGGTTAAAGGCTGTATTTTAAAGTTTTCTAGGTCTAGGAAGTTTAAAGTAAACAAGAGAGCTTCTATAATATGATTTGGTTTTGTACAAAGTATTTCCTTCTGAGTAAATTAAGAATGTTGGAGTTATAGCCTAGATTATTAGGTTTTCCTTTTTTACCTTTGTTTACCCTTTTTAGCCTTATTGTATCTTTATTATTTGACTATATATATACGGGGGCTCTACACTTAGTTTATATCCCTTTTTCATTCACGTTTATTCTAAATTGCTATTAGAGTCATACCCTAACCCTAACCTTAACCTTGTCCATCATCCTCACCAGCGATTAATAGCTACTTCTCCACCACAAACCAAACCAATAAACCAAGCAGCATACACCGACAGTCAACCCAGACCACAGCATACGCCGACTGCCCAGGCCACACCGATAGCCAACTTCTCAACCCAGACCACCTACACAAACTGTCCAGACCACACCTACACCTACAGTCATCAACCCACTGCCCAGCAACCATCCAGCATCCAAAGGGGAGTGGCTAGATAGTCGATGGAGTATAACACTGGGTGGGTTACTAATAGTGGGTCACTGGCTGTCGATTTTGGATGCTAATTTGAGTGGGTCGGTGGAGTAGGCTAATGTTGGATGCTGGTTTGAGTGGGTTAGTGGAGTGGGCTGGTATGGGCTGTTCGGTGGAGAGGATCGAGGTTGGTGGGCTTGGTCTTGGTTATAGCGGACTTGGGTTTGTCGATGAGGTTTGTCAGTGGTTTCGGTGTTGGTCTGTAGCCATCTGGTCAATCGGTGGCTTCTGTGGGGCAGTGGGTTTAGGTCTATGTTTGCTGGTTGGGTTTGGTTTGATCTGGTTGTTGTTGGTAGGTAGGCTGGTTTATGGCCTTTGGATGCTGGATTCGGGTGCTAATGGTTATATGATAGGTGAGGCCCATCATTTCACCTATTTTGACGAGAAATTACATACTCAAGTTCAGTTAGTAGATGATACACATGCCCTATTGTTAGTAGGGGTACAATCTACCTCCCATATGGCTTTACATTACATTTGGTGTTTCATGTGCCAAAGGTGCCCATGAATCTATTATTTGTACATCAGTTAGCCAAAGATTTTTATTGTATAGTTGTGTTCTTATCTGATTCATGTTATTTGCAGGACATGAGTACCTGGAGGATTATTATCAGGGAACATGAGAGAGATGAACTATATTATTTAGGCCATCCACCTCCAATTTCACCAGTTTCTCCACCTCCACCTCCACCTCCATCATCTACTTTATCTTTATCTGTTCCTAGCTTGCAAGCTAGTATTTTAACTAGTACTTGTCGTTATGATTTTTCATCACAAATTATTCAGTTGTGGCATGACCGTTTTGGGCAGACAAATTTTAAATATTTATGTATGTTATTTCCTACTTTGAATAAAGCTTGTGTTAGTGGTAAACTTGACTGTGTTATATGTTCCCTATCAAAACATGTTCGGACCAGTTATATTCCTCGCATGCACCAGTCACCCAAACCATTTGACCTAATACATTCGGATATTTGGGGACCCTATCCTGTTACATTGCATACTAAGTCTGATGTACTCCCTTTCATCACTCAATTTCTTCAGATGATTAAGACACAATTCGATATCATTATTTGTGCACTTCATTCGAATAATGCTAAAGAATATGTGTCTGATGCCTTAGTGTCTCACCTTTCTTCATAGGATATCTTTAGCAGCTCACTTGTTCATATAATCTTGAGCAAAATAGAGTTGCTGAAAGAAAAAATAGGAGTATGATAGGGATGGTATGTTGTATGCTTAGAGGTATGGGGGTACCAAAATCTTATTGGCATTTTGCTATTTTGACTTCTACCTTTTTGTGCAATCGCACACAGAGTCGTGTTCTTCAGCATAGGGCTCCCTTACAGGTCTTATTCCCTGAGCGGACACTTTTTTCGGTCCCCACTTGTGTTTTTGGTTACACATGTTTTGTTCAGGATCAATCTCCTACTCGCCATAAGCTTGATGATAAAGCGATTTGTTGTGTCTTGTGGGCTATTGCCATCAGTCTAAGAGGTATCGGTGTTATGATCCTGCCAGGCGACGTATGTATCATAGTCTAGATGTTACCTTTCTTGAGCATATTCTTTATTTTTCTTCCAGTCTTATGTCTGCCCCTCCAATTGATGTTACTCTCTTTGATTTTCCATTACCACAGGAGCCAGAGCCATTGGTCACTATCACTACAGAGTCATCCGTCTCTCCTCCTCTAGAGGCACTCATCTCTGTTAGTACAGAATCACCAGTCTCTCTTCCTTTGCAGGTTTATGTTCGTCGCCCTCGCTCTCATCCCCCTACTGATGTCCCCTCTACCTCAAGCAATGCAAGTAATACTTCTTAGTTCGTTGAGCATATTAATGCACCTGTTGTTAGTACTAATGAGATTGCAGGTACTAAGCTAGTTATTTTACCTAATGAGACATTGTTAGTGGAGGATGATGATTTAGGGCATCGTTATCCATAGCGTGATCGTCATCCAGTTGATCGTAATGGTTGGACTGCCAAGATTTTATATCTGATCTTTGCTTATGTTTCTTATGGTGATTTGTCTCATAAATTTCGAGCTTATAGCAGACCTTATTAGATACACCGATTCCTCGCTCTATTTTAGAGGCTATGTGGGAGCCGTAATGGATTCTTTCCATGTAGACAGAGATAGATGCTCTTCAATGTAATTATACAAGGGATCTTATCTCTTTACCTTTAGGGGTGAAGCCTATTGGTTGTCATTGACTTTACACCCTGAAGTTTCTTGCGGATGGTACTATTGATCGTCACAAGGCTAGACTTGTGGCGAAGGGCTTTTCTTAAGTACCAGGTCGTGATTTTGGTGCTACATTTACCCCCGTGGAAAAATTAACTAATGTTCGGTTGATTATTTATCTGGCTGCGGAGTACTTTTGGCCTCTTCATCAGTTAGATGTGAAGAATGCATTTCTTTACGGTGATCTAGACGAGATTATTTATATGGATGCACCGCCGGGCTTTCGTGGTGAGGGGGAGTGTGCTGGAATGGTATGTCGACTGCATAAGTCTCTTTATGGACTGAAACAGTCACTAGGAGCCTGGTTCTCTCGCTTTAGTGATGTAGTCGTACATTTGGGGTTCACTAGATGTCATTCTGATCATACCTGCTTTATTCGACGAAATATTTCTGGACAGTGTGTCATCCTTTTGGTATGTATTGATGATATTATTATTACTGGGGATGATGTTTCTAGGACTGTGCAGGCCAAGGTAGACCTTGGGAAGGCCTTCGATGTGAAGGACCTTAAATTTCTGCGATACTTTCTTGGGATTGAGGTTGCTTGTAGTAGCAGGGGTGTTGTTCTTTCTCAGAGAAAGTATGTTCTGGATTTCCTTTTAGACACTGGGATGTTGGGGTACAACCGGCAACATCACTCATGATTCCAAACCTAAAGCTTATTGCTGAAGGTGAGGAGTTAAAAAATCCGACTGTTTATTAGACGTTGGTAGGTAGACTTTTCTACCTAGCCAACACTAGGCCAGACATTTCATTCGCAGTCAACCAAGTTAGTCAGTTCATGCACAAGCCTTGTCAGTCTCATATTGATGCAGTTTATCGTATTCTTCGGTACCTCAAGTCTTGTCTTAGAATTGAGTTGTTCTACGCATCAGGATCTCAAATTGGTTCTTTAGCCTGTTATTCAGATTCAGATTATGGGGGAGTATGTGACGGTCGATCTACTACAGGCTTTATGCTTTTCGAGAGACTCATCTTATCTCTTGGAAGAGCAAGAAGTAGACAGTTATCTCCCGCTCGTTAGCAGAGGCAGAGTATCGGACAGTGACACTTGGCACGTGTGAAATTATCTGGCTACGATCGATTCTTTGCGAGTTGGGATTTCTAGTGACTTCTCCATCCACATTATATTGTGATAATCGATTTGTTATTCAGCTCGCTTCTGACTCTGTACTACACGAGAGAACGAAGCATATAAAGATCGATGTTCACTTTCTTCGAGAGAAGGTTAGTCATGGTATTGCCACACTATCCATTCTTCAGAACTCGGTTGTCAAGCTTAACTTAATTGATATCTTTGCGCCTACCTTGAGGGGGAGTGTTGGAGTTATAGCCTAGATTATTAGATTTTCCTTTTTTACCTTTGTTTTACCTTTCTAGCCTTATTGTATCTTTATTGTTTGACTATATATATACGGGGACTCTACGCTTAATTTGTATCCCTTTTTCATTCACGTTTATTCCAAGTAAGAACTTCTTTGAATTTTGTGACTATAGTTGTATTATATCTTTAATTCTCAGTTCCATGCTTAATGATAGATACAATGTAACAACCATAATTCTGGATATTAGTTTAGTGTCTGAAGTAATATTTGTGAATTTGGACAACAAGTTTTTCTAGTGAGCGCGATGTTAATTTTTTTTCAAAGTAATCAAGTTAAATATCGCTCAGTACAATATCAAGGAAGATTAACATCAGGTCACTAATTCTAGTTAGTGGGACTTTATCCGGAGGGACTTATTTTCTTCTATTTTGTTGGAGTAAAAAAATAACGTAGGTATGACCAAAGTCTCTAGCTTGAGAAAGAACCTATCATTCACTGGAGCCACTATAGAGCAGCCGCCCTAAGCCCTTCAGTACTCCTGAAGAAGATGGAATTAGGGGCAGAGCAGGGAATATCCATGAGGGGGTGCAAAATATGATTAAAAATAAATTCACTAGATGATACAAAAAAATTAAGTTCAAGAATGACAAAAAACTATGACTCAAGATAAAATTATTGTCTAATAGTAAATTCAATTTTTATTTAGCCAAAACAAAATTCGAATAAAAAAACAAAATAATTTTTTTAGTACATTTTAACCCAATTATATATTTCAATAAAATATAACATTCTTTAAAATCTCTTAAAAAGTTGATATTAATTAAATGTAAATTAATTGTTCACTGATTTTATATTAATGTGGACAATCACAAGTTCATAATAAAGTCATTCTTCATTTAGTTGTAAAACATGGTTGAGTTCATTGTTGATCTTATAGAAAAAATCTTTAATCGAAATAGCTTGAAATATTTTTTGTTACAACTTTTTTTGTATAGAATCATATTTTATTGGGTTATAGACTATTATTATTAAAAAAATTAAATTAAAATTAAAATTTATTCTGAAAAAGTAATGAACATTGTATTAGATATAGAGAAATATTGTCTTTTGGTAAATATATAAATAAATCAGGATAACTTCATCTGATTTACTCAATCCAAAAGCAAAATATTTATTTTAGAGGTTTAGTGAACCACTAATTAATGAAAAAAGAAAAAAACTAGAACCATTATTGAAATGTTTAAAAATTTAAAGGGGCAAATATAATATATTAAATATATTTGTGGGTCATTATCAAAGGTGGCCCAAAAATGAGAGGGGCAAGTGCCCACCCTAGTCCCCATGTTGCTCAGCCCCTATTGAAGAGCTCCTAACAGAAGCCACATGCACATGCTAAACGGCGCAATACAAGAAAATACTAGGCAAGGGAAGAATGCAATAATTAAAACCACATGAAGAATGCTATATAGCATTTTGATATTTCTGTTTCAAAACTAGGGATGAATTCTATCTTGAAGGCTATTTGTTAAATGAATAAGAAAGAATCATCTACCCACTATGATGTGAAAAAAATATATACACACTAACGTTAAAATAAATCGCACAGAAATTCTACTACACAATATCCACCATCAAACTGTTACCGAATTCATCCGTTAGAATATTTTACCTATCACTAGAAAATATTGAAACTTATATGAATAGATAGTTGATTGCCTAACTTGTTATATATTTTTAATTGCTGAGAGAGCATAAAAATGATTTATAATTATTTTTAAGGATT